ATACAATGCAGTAGGAAAACTGTTAAAGAGGCACAATCACAAACACAACCTTGTTCATTAAAATCTTTTCCAACATTTTCTGTACAGTCAGCAAATGCATATGAATTAAAACCTTTTTTGTTAGCATAAACCTATATATAGGTTTAAAAAAAAATGTCTCCAGGCTGTCACTGGCAAACATATAGTATCATTGGTAACTAGTTGCCAACATTTAAAAGAAAACTCTTTTCAAGTCTCCCATTTCCTAATCGAAAAGATGAGCAAGAGGCCCACTTCTAGGAGTCAAGCTTATGTCACCCTTGAGCTAAGTATTCAAAAGTCAGAATGATTTCTTTTTGAATTTCCCATTTCTTGTTGGCAAGTCTCAGCTCTGGCTGATTTAAATCCATGTCCTACCACTTAATGGCACATTTGTATAAACATACTGCTGCTATCCATGGTTTTTATTGAATACAAAATCAATTGTAATACAAGGCTCTGCCGTGTATATGCATTAATCCCATTCACACTATGCAAACTGTAAACACAGAACATATTTGTTAAATAATTTTCCTTTGATACTCCAATGCTTCCATGTGACAATTAACTACAGCCACTAATAATCATTTGAAAGTGATAATCATCAGCAGTAACCAAGATGATTCACAATAATTACTGATAATGTGGAGTGATGGTTCAGTGATAACTAGAAGCTATCTACACTTACTATGATATTTTAGTAATATTCAAACCATAAACAGCAGTGAACTCTTAATTACTCAGCAGAAACCATACTGTAATCGAGGCAGAGTTGACGTTCATGTTCTGGAAAATATTTTGTGCTACTGTTGACAGTCTAAATAATTATTAGTTAACACTGAAATGAAAAAGATTATGTCTGGAATGACTGTTTCCCTTTAAAAAATGAGGAAATGTAAAACACTTACCAATGCTGCATTTGTCAAAAAATGATTAACAGGCACACGTATTAATTGGGATTTGGTCATAGATATGACATTATTTTTAGCTCATGTATTTTTGGTAAGAGAGTGGGCATTGGTACACCATTAAAGCACATAACATGCATCATTAAGTAAAATATTTTGTATTACAGTTTGAGTAATATGTACAGTATTCACAGAAATACTGTTCAAACTCGTCCAGGTGAAATATATACTCCCCTCTAAGGTATCAGGAATATGATTAATGTGCTTTTATTTCAAATGGACGTAAAATTGATACTTGGTGAAATGACTGCTGTCATAACTTCCTTAACCATATTGCTGGTGCCAAACAGACCTAATTAAAAGCATAAATAAGAAATGATCTCCAAAGTGGAAAAATACTTATCTACATTTTATAGTGTACATCATTATTGAAGTTGATGCAAATTCTAAGTACAACACAAACACTCAAAAGAGTATCACTGTGGGATACAACTGGAGTAAACTGCCGAACATGTCCAAATATCTAATTAAAATTATTTTCTTTAAAAAGTAACAACTACTTTACAAATAATTTTTCACTATGTCTTGCTTTCTTCAGTACACAAAAAGGAGTGAAGATTTACTTAACAGATACATTTTTAAGCTTATTGAGTCCCATAAACGACAACACAAAATGAATAAAGATCCAGGATCATTCTGTACATGTGAAACAGTATACACATTAGATAAACTTTCATTAACCTATTCTCTGGATATTAACAACTATGCCATCCACAACCACCTTTATCCAATCTCTCGGAAAGACATCACATATGTGTGTTGTAGAGATGGAATGACTAAAAGTAGGAATGAAATTAAAATGACATTGTTCTCGTGAAATGGCCAACAGTTCGTAGGGTTTAATTTTCTTAAGTCAAGATTGATTGCAGTACAAATTCAAAGAAAGCAGACAGAAGTTCAAAATTTCTTGTAAATTGAGCACTTATGTCACAATTAGATGACGGAAGAAAACTGCATAGATGGTCAGGATTTCAAATGAATAGTAATGCCACAGCTAGTGCCACCACTAAATATATACTGTGTGTCAAACACAATTTTTTTTAAGAATATACGTAGATTTATAGTGGAAACAACAGACCTGTCAACTTTAAGAATGGATTTATCTGCTGAATTCATGGTAAAAGTTTTAATTTATAACAACATGGAAAACAACACTTAACCTTTTTGTAGCACAATGTGTATTCATAAAAATGTAACATGTACATAACTGGCAAAAATGCAATGAAAATTTAAGTCAGATTTCCCTAAAATGTCAAATAAAAGTGGATTTAGGGAGAATGAGGACAGCATTACATTTTCCTGATAGATCTGTTAACAAAGATTCTTTCAGAATTAAAACTAGAATTCAAATTGAGCTAGTGTGAAAAGTGGTACAATTAATTACTCAGACACTTGTGAAAACGAAAGGTTTGTAATTTATTACACTTTTATTTTTGTATAAACCAGGCACTCATACTAAGTATTTGCCATTTCCTATGGATGTTTATAGACTTGTCAAATTTACATTTCACAGGAAAGGTGCTAAAAACTGAATAAGTTGGCTAATAACAGGAATGTTATTCTTCACAACAAAATCTACCGTTCAATTATGGAAAGCATCACACACGAATCATCTTGGGTGTAGTCACAAAAAATATTCTATGAAGAATACACCTTCAGACTACTGTTAATTTGGATTATCTGCATCTGACTAAAAAAGCACCAGTCATAAAACCAAGTGATACTGATAATTATTGTAAAGATTTCAATTGTTCAGTTTTAATCTAATGTAGCACCTCACCTATCAGTAGTTTCCAACAAGACTGAATTTCCAACAAGTTCTGCAAGTACTTTATCTAAAATGGTAAATGGCATCAGTTTATATTTGAGAATCCATCTTTTTAAGGCATAAACACTGAGTCACTTCTTGAACTTGCTGGGTTTACACTTTCTGAATGGATCAGTTTTACTCAGAATATACAGCATTTTACCATACATTTTTAAATCTGATTTTGGGACCCATGTTCTTTTCCGTATCCAAAACTAATCGATTTCAAAAAGTCATCCCTTTGAATTATCCAAATTGATGGTTTGGGATAAAGTGGCAGAATCCATTTAAGACCTGCATTGTAAAAATTGTTGCAATTGTGCCAGAAGAAAAAGACATAATAAATCTGAAAATGGAACTGGACAATTCAAATTCATAAAATGTAGCTTTTCAGTGCTACAAGGTACTTTCTAACTGGAGAGTTTTACAGATCTGTTGTTTCAGAACTTATGACAAGAATAAATCAATCATTCCAAGAACACTTAACATGCTCAGTCTGTCAAAATTCCAAATAGGACATTATACATCTCTCTTTTTAGAAGTTATTTTATATATTAGCATACATTAAAATACTTATGAAAAAGGAAGCAAGATATTACTGGCATCAAATTACAACCATTTCTAGACTATTTAATGCCACAGAGTCCCCTGGTAAAATGTAAAGCTGCACAGCTTGCTTTCATTTTGTTACCCAAGAGTAACTATACATTTTACTAGCAGGTATAAATCAAGTATCACTGTAGCAATCTTACAGGTCAGGAGTAGCAGCAAATGGCAGGAATACAAATGCAATGGTGACAAAGTGCAATTCTATTATCCATAAAATAAAAAAAAAGTGTTATCAATTAATAAGCTTTTTTATTTACAAAGAAACCCAAAAATAAGGTCAAACTGCACTTCTACAGCTGCCAGCAGTATATAGGATGGATGTTAATGTTAAACTCTGACGTCCAATACCACTCAGCAATCAGCACTTCACTATTATTGAACCCACTAACATGTGAAGTAACTTTTAGATCTGTAACCTAACCAAAGTGACATAACTTTTCAATCCAGTTACTACTAATGAATATGAAAATAAAAGCTAAAACTCATGTTGGTCTATTTATACTGTCCTAATTGAAAAGCTACACCAAATGAGCAAAAAGGATCAACAGAATTTAGATATTTACCTTTTACAATAACTATTTTGGTTACTTAATTGAGAATACAAAAATATATTGCTTTAGAAGTACTTTTTACATCCTATCAAGTAACATTTAGAAATCTGACATGCACATTACTACATTAAATGGAAAAAGTGGCAACTTAGCAATTTTAGAATTGGGAGGCAATGTACATTTATACAATTGTACAAATTGTTAAAATCAAATTTTGGTTATTTGCCTTCAAGAGTGTACCACATACATGCATTTATCTTTTTTAATGTAACAATTGCAAGCCACTATATTACACTGAAATGTTAACACAGAACTACAAATAAATTACATTCTTTTGTTATGCATCTACATCTGCAGAAGACAAGATATCTGATTTTCTAGAAGCTTAACAATAGTTTATAGGATCAAAATCAGATAAAGTGTACTTGCATCCTCTTTTTGTGGCTATTTGGACCCACACAACATATTTCACAGTTCTAGTAAAACCCTAACCCCAACCCTGATTACATTCAATTTTGTATCAGTGTAAGCTGTGCAAAACCTTACTTCACTGGCATTATGCCATATAGTTGCATTTGTCTTTGGTACAAAATAGTGTGCAAATATTTCTGAAAAGTACCGAAACTCATGTTTCAATAACCATCTTTATACAATACAGACTCTGTGGCATATATCTACATTGCTGAAATATTCCTATATACATTCATAATGGTTTAAACAGCCAAAGAGTGAAAATAAATGAATACTTTTTTAAAATCCATAAAATTTACCCACTGTATATCCATTACACCTTACATCTTGACTTTCATTTAAATACAAGGCACAAAGAATATTACTCCTGTCTCAAACTTAAATACTCACACAATGTCTGGAAAAGGCCATGTAATTCACTATATTAACTATTTAACACATACTTAATAATACAAGAATATATAGTATATACAAAAGGAATATATAATGTTACTAATGGAAAAAAATTCTGCAACAGCGGTTAACTTTAAAAAGAATTACAAACTAATTTTCTTGATTTCTTGATTCAACTACTACATCCACTTTTCTATGGAAACTTAACATAAGTTCCTACCAACATTTTAGAACACATCAATCCCTAGCTCATTTTATAGGTAAGTGAAATTTACCTCATTAGTACCTGAGCGCACATAACCATACTTATCTCAATGTGCATTTCTTTTTATAGAACTCTAATATGTCAACATGAGTTTTCCCTCTCTTTTTCAAGCAGGTTTAACACAACTAACAAAATGTCATTTGCTATAATGAATCAAACATTTATCACAGAAATGGCAAACATGTAACTATAGGCTGAAGCTGCTTCTGACAGAGCGTATCATGTTACACTTTTGATGTAGGTACTCGAAGACCTTCAAGACCACCTGTTGGGTCTCCTTCTCCTGTTTTTTCTAAAACTTGATTGACAAAGTCAGATGTTTGTCCAGCTACTGTTGTCCCTATCAAAAAAGGAACAAAAATAAAAGACTGGTATTCACCTTTAAAATGAAAATTAGATATTTTATAATCTTAACTATTACCTCTATTATCTTTACATCTCCATGAGACATATTGTACTGAGTTCTCATTCCAGGGTTGGGAACCTGACTTGAGAACTAGTTCCAGGTGCTGACCCCACATGGTCAGTTAAAGACGTGTCTAACACTACTCTAAAATGGAGATACAATTCAAAAGGTCATGGAGCAGGCGCACCATCCAAAACAAGGATGTCAGGCAGGCAGCCAATGGGATGCCCTCCACTGCTAGAGTAAAGGCAGCCCTATCAGCTGAGGTAGGAGTCATCAATCTGAAGGCCAAAGAGGAATGGTCAATCCAATGGAGAGCGAGACATAGAAGGTCAACTATAATTTCTGATTTTTCAAATGGCCACAGATGCAGCAGCAACCCTTCAAGGGATGGCCAGTGGCTGCAGCTGCAGCCCAGTAGCCATTACAAATGTTGGTGGGTAGGAAGACAGAGCTGAACTCCTCGCACCAACAATTGCTTCCTATGCATTCCTGCCCTGAGCCCACCACTTGGCCTGTTGACGACCCTCCATTTGTTACCAAAACAATTTGATCACTTAATAATTTAATACCTTCAAAAAGGAATGAGAAATTCTGCACTTAATTCAATTCTATTTAAACTTAACTTTGATTAAATCAGTTAATTGGCAACGAGATGTCGCAAGAAAAACATTGACACATTAGGCTACATTCAATACTTTCTGCCAGCTGATGCATGAGATCTGCAGCTTGGAACCAGATGATTAAAATCTTGCAACTAGTGTGTGGTCTGGGTGGCACAAATGAGGCGAAAGGTGACAAAAGGAAAAGAGTAAAAACAAAAAGCAGCCATTTTCTTGCTGAATTTCTCAGATCTATCAAGCTTTCTTTGCCTAATATGTTACCCAAAAAAGTTTATTTTGTCTCACTGTACCAAAATTAGGAGAGCTGTGGTCTGAGAGATCCATTATTGTTAGGTGTAGGGGCAATAGTTCACTTAGGAATCTACTGGTTTAAGATTCTCAAATATATTTCACACGGAATAACTTTAAAAGATCAGCCCTCCATTGCCTGATAATACAAGGTTGACAGAATGAAATATACTGGGATTATTCCTCATGCGCAAACATGTAACATTCTTGTGAAAAGCATAGCAGAAGCTAAAAATCAGGTAGTATACCACAAGAACAAAAATACAAAAATATACATAAATATAAATGAGTAGCATTCAAAAGATTAGATTTGATTTCCTCTAAGTAATGGTTACATAGTTCAAATCTTCAGAACAAAATAGTAAAATTTGTTACAGTGCACTTAAGACATAGGAGTAAAAGTAGGCCATTTGACCCAAAAAACTGCTCGGTCATTCAACAAGATCATGGCTAATCTGATAATCCTGAACTCAACTTTCCATACAACCCTGGATTCTGATTAAAACCATTACGATTAAAAATTCTGTCTACTTCAGCTCTGAATACACTTAATAACCAGGCTCAACAATTCATGATGGTAAAAATGTCCATAAGTTCACTACTCTTGAAGAAATTCCTCATCTGTCTTAAATGGGTGACCATTTACTCAGATTTTGTCCACTGGCCCACATAAGAAAGAAGCTCTCCACATCTATTCTGTCATGCCCCCTAAGGATTTTACACGTTTCAGTAAGGTCTCCTCTCATTCTTATAAATTCTAAAGAGTACAAACTCAACCTTGCCTCATAAGAAGATCCCTCCGTACCCAGGATCAACTGAATGAATCTTCCCTCAACTGCCTCCAATGCCACAATATCTTTCTTTAGGTAAATTAATTTGCTCGTGATTCCATTAAGGTTAATATCTAAGAAACACATAGGGCATTAAAAACAAATCTGGTGAATTGTTTTAGTTGAAGTAACTTACCAAAGATACTGATTGTTTGTAGTCTTGAAGTAAATTACTGAGAGAAACGTGAGGATGGGCAAAAAAATAATATGAAGTAAAAAGAAAATAATTTCTTACCAAGTGTCTCATTTAAGAGATTTTCAAGTTTTTCTAGGATGCTTCCACTTCCTTTCTCTCCCGGACTCTGTACTCTATTTACTATTTCCTGTTTTATTGAGTTAATCACATAAAGCAGATGATCTGCAAAGAATAACGTGTTATGATAGTCAGAAAATTCCAATGTAGATAAAAGCAAATGTCAGCAAGTCATAAACATCTACAGCTCTGGGTAATCTTTTAATAAAATATGTGGAAAAACAAATCTTTGAGTGAAAGAGAAATACGAAATTATATTATACCTGGTAAACAACTAACAAGAGGAATACAGAGACGCAAACATTTTTTTTTAACATTGACAAACTTTAGCAATGTTTGCTCCATGATGGATGCTCCTTCTAAAATGTTGAAAAATGTTGTTAGAATTGATTTCAATGACAAGCAGCAAAAAATGCATTCAAATCTTGTTTGAATCATTGTCATACAGTTATCCCTTCAATAAGAAATTGGTTATAACTGAAACAATGAAATAGTAACGGTTAATCAAATTTTAACGACTTATTGTGTTTTCTTCCTTTTCAAAGAGAGCCTTTGGAACGTGTATTTATGTAGAGTTGTCACTGAAGCCACCGTAAGGGCAACCAATCAAAACTTTCAATTGGACAACAAATGTTTTAACCTAGTGTTTACAGATTATTACAAAGGCATGCGGAGATGGAAAGAGTTTTAATGTGAGTTGGAAAGGGAATTAATATTATAATCATCTTACATGGAATCCTCGCTCTGCAGAAGAATGGCTACAACCACAGCCATGGATCTTCTGAAGCAGAACAAAACATGATTTTTTTTTTTTTTTTTATACAGGTGACTACACAGTAGTTGGAATATCTATTTTAACATTTGATTTCATAAAACATACTAGAGAGAGAGAGAACTAGTTAAAACTATAACTGTGAACCGAATTTTTGAAAACACATGTACTTTGAAATGTCTGCTTTGGGAGAGCAGAGATTGTCAAAACAAACCATGTTAACATTAAAGTCTACCAATTACTTCAACAAAATTTAAAATGGATTCCACATGAGGCATTCTCTGCACTTTATATTAGCTTCCCTTATTAGCCTTTTCTCTCCAGGGCCTATTTATCCATTTTGAAGTCAAACTGGTCTATATTTTGCATAATTATTGATGGGTACACAGAATGCCAGTCATTTATAATTTTTAAGAGCTTCAGCAGAGGGTAAAATCTGAAGCAATTGAATTTAACAATTTGTTCCATCAGATACTTCCATTTTGTTGAAGTAATTGGATCACTCACTCATATTACCTAGAACAATCCCAAAATCTACATAACTGCAGACTTTTTAGATCTCTGAAGGAGCGGATATTGTTGGCTGGTCTGTCAATAGACAATTGATTTGATATGCTACATCGTCATGCAACTCAGATCTGGCAATATATGTTATTGTTAATTTACTGCCAAATCCTCAATGGCCTAGTTCGCTGTAAGGAACTACAGAGCAGGAATTGGCCATTTAGCCCCTTGAGCCTGCTCCACCATTCTAATCACGGCTGATTATCTACTTCAACATATATTATCCCATATTATCCCTATTTTGTTTGATGTCTAGAAACCCATCAATCCCTTTCTTGAATGTAATGACTAAGTTTCCACAGGGTGGAGTACTCTAAAGATTCATCACCGTGAGTAAAGAGGTTCTTCATCATCCCAGTTCTATTTTATTCTGAAGTTGCATCCCCTCGTTATAGCTTCGAGTTACAAGGGGAGATATTTTCTGCACCACTTTGTCTATCTCTAAGAATTTTGCATCTTCTATGAGGTCACCTCTCATTCTTCCTATACTCCAGAGAATGTAGCTTCAGCTTCCTTTATCTCTTTTCATAGGAGAGACCCACCATCCCAGGAAAGAGTCTGGTGAATTTCTGCTCCGCTCCCTCTATCGCAACTATATCCTTGCTTAGACAAGGGGACCAGAACTGCATACAATACTCAGTCAGAGACAAACAGCACAGAAATAGATCGTTTTGTCCAACTCGTCCATGCCGACCAGACATCCCAATCTCACCTATTCCAATTTGCCATCATTTGGCCCTTGTCCCTCGAAATCCTTCCTACTCATAACCATCCAGATGCCTTTTAAATGTTGTAATTGTACCGGCCTCCACCACTTCCTCTGGCAGCTTGTTACATACGCACACCACCCTCTGCATTAAAAAGTTACCCCTCAAGTTCTTTTTAAATCTTACCTCTCATACCTTAAAACTGTGCCCTCTCGTTTTGGACTTTCCCAACCTAGGAAAGGCATCTTGGCTATTCACTCTATCCATGACCCTCGTGATTTTATAAACCTCTATAAAGTGATCCCTCAGTCTCCAACGGTCCAGGAAAAAAAATCCCAACCTATTCAGTCTCTCCCTAAAAGTCAAACCCTCCAGTCCTGGCAACATCCTTGTAAATCTTTTCTGCACCCTTTCAAGTTTAATGACATCCTTCCTATAAGAGGGTGACCAGAATTGTATGCAGTATTCCAAAGGTGGCCTCAACAGCATCCTGTACAGCCCCAAGATGACATCCCAACTCCTATGCTCAATATTATGACCTATGAAGGCAAAGGTTTAATCTCACCAGATTTCTATACAATTAAAGCAAGATCTCTTTGTTCTGGTACTCAAATCCTCTTGTAATAAACGTTAATGTAATGTCTGACTACTGTATCTCTAGCTTTCAGTAACTGATAAACAGGAACATCAAAGACCCTTTGGACATCAACACTTCAATATGATCATAGCTGATCATGCAATCTCAGAATCACTTTTCCGCTTTCTCTCCATACCCCTTGATCCTTTTAGCTGCAAGGGCCACAGCCAGCTCCCTCTTGACCATCCTGCCACCCCAAGAATCAGTCTGATGAACCTTAACTGGACTGCCTCAACAGCTAGAATGTCCTTCTTCAGACTAGGAGACCAAAAGTGCACACAATACTTAAGGTGTGGCCTCATCAAGGCCCTGTATAACTGCAGCAAGACATCCTTACTCTGATACTCAAATTGTCTCATTACGAAGGCCAGCACGGCATTAGCTTTCCTCACCGCCTGCTGCACCTGCATGCAAACCTTCGGCAGCTATTCCACTACGACAACCAGGTCTTGTTGCACTCGTCTTTTCCTGAGCTGCCACCATTCAGATAATAATCTGCCTTCCTGTTTTTGCGACCTCACATTTATCTACATTATCTGCATTTGCCAAACGTGCCCACTCAGCCAGTCTGTCCAAATCACCCTGCAGCCTCCTAGCATTCATCTCATAGCACACACTGACACCCAGCTTTGTGACATCTGAAAATTTGGAGATATGGCATTCAATTCCTTCATCCAAATTGTTAATGTATATTGTAAACAGCTGCAGTCCCAGCACTGAACCTTGCAGCACCCCATTCATCACTGCCTGCCACTCTGAAAAGGACCTGTTTATTCCAACTCGCTGCTTCCTGTCTGCCAACAAATTCTTTATCCATGTCAACACATTACCTTCAATATCATGAGCTTTAATTTTCCTTACTAATCTCTTGTGTGGAACCTTGTCAAAAGCTTTTTGAAAGTCCAGATACACCATAGCTGTCCTTGCCCACTCTACTGGTCACATCCTCAAAAATTCCAGAAGATTTCTCAAGTGTGATTTCCATTTAGTGAATTCATGCTGACTAGGACCAATTCTGTCACTGCTTCCCAGAAGCTCAGTTATTACAATAAGTTATTAAATTAAAATGTCGCCCATTTAAAACAGAGATGAAGTGACATTTTTTCTCCAAGTTGAGTGTCTTTGGAACACTCTTCCTGAAAATAAAGTGGAAGCAGACTCTAAATATTTTGAAGGCAAAGGTGAATATATTTCTAGTAGTCATGAGATAAAAAGTTGAGGTGGATGTGATCTGATTAAATGGTGCAACAGGCTTAAGGAACTGAATGGCTTATTCCTTGTTTGTATGTATCTATTTCAAAAGTGGTCTCAGTGGTTATAGTGATGGTTTGGTACAAATTAAAAATAATAAGCAATACTATTAATTGTTACAAACAGTAATTGCAATTTTAAACACTACCAATTTAAAGGAAGGTTAACAATTAAAGAATTATTCAGTCAAAAAAATACACATGATGAAATTGATTCATTTTATAAAAGGAGTACAAGCCAACAAGGAGTGAAGAATCGTGGTTCACTAATGAAATTGTAAATGCAAAAGCAAAGGCCTGTAGATGCCAGAAATCTTGAACAAAAACAGAAACATAGTGCTAATGCTCAGCAGGTCAGGCAGCATCTGCAGACAGGCAAAGAGAACTAACATTTCACATTGGTGATCTTTGTCTGTCATGGACTAATGCTTTCATTTTTTCTTTTCCTTGCCCCTCCCCAACATCAATACATGCACCACCTCTACTTTTCTGGCTTGAAAACATACATACACCTCTATATATTGCAATTCTGATGAAGTGCCGTAAGCCTGAAACATCATCTCAGTTTTTCTCTCTTTGTATGTGCTGCTTGATTCATTACATGTTTGCAACATTCATTCCGTTTCCATTGCATAAAACAATTATCTTACCATATTCAGTATTCAGACCCCATAGTTTTACTTTGTTAGCCTCGTACTGAGCCTTTTTCTTTAAGCGACAAGCCCTGCAAATAAAATATAAATTAGGAGACATTCTCAAATAATTATTAATGTAACTTAATAAGTTCACAGGTAACAAAGTTAAGTGAAATTATATCACTATCAGAAAAAAAAGAGATTTCCATTTTCAGCCTTTCGAATGCCACTGAATACTTCTCTTTCAGATATAGCCTGCTAATCAAAGACAGAATTTTAACTACTAGAAACGCATAACCATTAACATTTTACACAAAAAATGGACTAGTCATTGTTTAACTCTTTTTCTTGTGATGTGCTGTACAGAGATAGGTGACTATTGACTATTTTTATCTTCATAAGTGACCCTGGATAAAACGATGAGTTTCTTTTTAAGAGACAATTCAGTAATACTTCCAACTCAATCCAATGTATAGGAATCAATGGAGTGGTATAAAAAAATGAAACATTTGCTTGCAGAAAATTCATCTATTTACAATAATAAGTAGTAATATCATACAAACCAAGTGTTTCCCAGTCAAAGTTAACTGATCTCAGCCACAGCAAGACTTTAGCAGCTAACGTGGATACGTTGCGGATAGTTCATTTCCAATGAACCCAATTGATTCATTTTTTGATAGCAACTGAAGCAGAACATAAAATAATGCCTAAAGATAGAAATCTTATGGACTTCTGGAAGGCAAGGGATGAAGGTTCACATGACAGATTCAAGGTAAAATTAAAACACACTGACATGAACACAAATTATTGACTTGGTTGGGAGACTGGTAAGGTTACAGTAACAGAAAAGAGATAACGGGCATATACTTTAAGTGGAAGGATCTGATAGTGGTGTCACACAAGGAATTGTTCAGAGTCTTCAACTGTTCTCTATATTTGTCAATAACTTAGATCACGCAACGAAGAGCCATTTACTCAACTTTCCTGATGACACTAAGATTGATGGCATTATATATAGTGTAGACTGAATCGTGAAATTACCAAATGTAACATCCACAGACTAAGTGAGTCAGGAAATCTGGGGTCAGGAGATATCAATGCAAGCCAATTTTGCAGTTAACAATTTTGGAGCAAAAATAGATAGACTGAAGTAGTTGTTAAATTGTGAAGATGTGGAGATGCCGGTGTTGAACTGAGGTGGACAAAGTCAGAAGCCACACAACACCAGGTTACAGTCCAACAAGTTTATTTGAAATCACAAGCTTTTGGATCATGGCCCTTTCATCAGGTGAAGTGAGAAAGAAGCACACAGAACACAGAATTTACGAGCAGAGAGATCAAAAGATCACACAAATGGTGTGAGCGCGATGTTGAATACTAAGTCCCTGCAGGTGATTTGAGGTGTTAGATGGTGTGAGTAAAGTGTCAATAGCTGAAAAACAAACGAAGGGATGACCTATAATCCGATTAAATGAGGCAGAGAGATAATTACAAAGAATTAAAAATAATATGGTGCTGGAGACAAAATTCTGTGTGCTTCTCTCTCACTTCACCTGACAAAGGGGCTATGCTCCAAAAGCTTGTGATTTCAAATAAACTGTTGGACTATAACCTGGTGATTTATGGGTGCTTGTACACAGATCACTAAGACATTGTATATAGAACAATACAGCAATTTGAATAGAGGAAAGCAGAGTGTGACAGGCAGGAACAGAGTGGTTCATAGCAAAAGTGCAGTCAATGTGGTTAAGTCACATAAAATTGTAAAAAGTTAAAATTAATGATATATTACCTAATTACACAAAGCATTCTCAACAAGGCAGACAAATTAATGACACTGTTATAGATAAATGGATTTGATCTACTAGCCCTTGCTGAAATGTGGTTGCATGATAACCACATTTAGGAATCAAATACCCCACTGTACTTGAGGTATCTAAAAGAGAGATAAAACGGAAGAAAGAAGAGGTATCAGTAATGATAAAGAATGATATAATGACACCATTGAGGAAGGACTTGGCACAGATATTCATAATTGCCAGTCATTATGGATGAAGAGGAAACATAACACGGAGCAGAAAATACTGGCAGCATAGTTTGTAGGCCCTTTAACACCAGATAAAGTACAAGTGTATTTATCAAGAAATTAGGAGCATTTAACAACGCTAATACAATAACTGCAAGAGTCTTATCTTTATGTACTCTGGATAAATCAAATTAGCAAAAGTAGTTTTTAAGGTCGGGTTCATAGAAGTCATCCAAAAATGTTACAAGAAACTACCAGGGAACTTCAGAGAGACGGTACCCAGGGAAGAGTGATTACGTGCATGAATTTAAGGGTGAGGTGCTTAAGTTCAAAACTAAAGTCTTAAATTTAAAATCAATTACAATAGATATGAGGGATAAGCTGATTCAGTTTTTGCAAAGATGGATTAAAATGCATAATGGCCAAAAAGCAATGATGAATATTTGAATAAATATTTCATAATTCTTAAATATACATTTGCTTGAGAAATAGAAACTTCTAGAAAGAATATTAATTCCTAGCCAAGTGAAGATGTTATGGATAATAGTAGATTAAGAGGCTAATAATGCTGTTCGGATCAAACATGGGTTTTAAGAGAGATTTGGGAACCATCAAAGGATGATTTAAAAAATCAGATGGATAAAACAAAAGATGACAATATGTTTTAATACCATTTGCAAATGTGTTAAATAAAGCAAAGGAAAAGCAAATTAAAATGCAGATCCTTTAGAGACCCCGAAGCACAAATTAGAATAGGAATAATGGCAGAGACATTAAACCAACATAACGTATCCATCTTTACAATAGTATACACAAAAAATATCAGAAATAGTTAGAAATCAAAGTGATCAACATTAGTAAAGTACTGGGAAACTAATTTGATTAAAAGTCTACAAAATCTCCTCTGCTTGACAGTCTATATTATAGCATTCTGAGTGTGGTGGATACAGAACGAGTGAATGCTGTAGTTGTGATCTTACAAAATTTCTTCAGATTGTGGAATGCTCTCAGTATTTTGGAAAGCAGCAAAATAACCCCGCTACCGGGGGGGAATAAAAAAGGAGAAAGAAAGCATAACTAAGTAAGCTAATTGGCCTGCAGTTTTGGGGCTGCATGGTGGATCAGTGGTTAGCACTGCTGCCTCACAGCACCAGGGACCCAGGTTCGATTCCACCCTCAGGTGACTGTCTGTATAGAGTTTGCACATTCTCCCCGTGTCTGTGCGAGTTTCCTCCGGGTGCTCCGGTTTCCTCCCACAGTCCAAAGATGTGCAGGGTAGGTGGATTGGCTGTGCTAAATTGTCCATAGTGTTCAGGGATGTGTAGGTTAGGTGGGTTTTTGGGGAATGGGTCTGGGTGGGATGCTCCGAGGTTTGGTGTGGACTTTTTGGTCCGAAGGGCCTGTTTTCACAATGTAGGGATACTATGATGATGAAGATGACTTAATTTGCAGAATAGATAAAGGGGCAAGTATATTTAGATTTAGAAGACATTTAAAAAAGCAAAGTTTTTGTACAATGTAAGGGTGATAGCGTTGATGTCATTTATCAGCATAAGAAAGAATTACTTCAAGACAGAATCAGAATGTAGGTATAACTTGATCATTTTCAGGTTGCTAGGCCACGTAACTAGTAGTCATTATATGAACAGTGTTGGCACTCAGCACTTCCAAAAAAAAATTAATGATTTCAATGAGGGGCCTAACAATAAAAAGCTCAGAAATTAAGCTGCAAAGAGGTTACAGAAATCAAAAGAGATCAAAAGACTGAATGAACAAAAAGGTAGCAGATGGAGTACAGTGTGAGGAAGTGTTGGGATTGTTCATGCTGGTAGGAAGAATAGAAAATTAAAACTATTTTTAAATGGCAAGTAAATGTTTTTACGATGGATATCCAAGTCCTCATTCACAAAATACAGAGTTGGCGTTCAGGTACAGCAAATATCAGAAAGACAAATAGTGTATTGGTCATTACTGCAAGAGAGTAGAAGTACAAGATTAAAGAAATCCTGCTGAATTGTACAGATTGGTAAGATCATAGTTTGCAGAAGGGTACGATCAATTCATGTTCCCAATGAAGAATATACTCGTCTCCTGGTGCAAGGAAGATTCGCTAAGATAATTCCTAGGATGAAAAGATTATCAATGAGGTACAACTGACCAGTCTAATTCAATGCTTTCCAGACTTGAAAAGAATAAGAGAGGATCGTATTGAAGCTTAAGATTTTGAGAGGACATAACAGGATAGATGGAACGAGGTTGCTTTCCTACAGCTGAAAATGATCTGGAACTACCTGGCCTAGCCTCAATATTAGGCATCGACCGTTCAGGTCAAAGATGGGAAGAAGTTCCTTCAAAGGACTGTCAATTTTTAGAATTCTCGACCCAGACTTGAATGTTCAGTCATTAATATATTCAAGGCTAAGATTTAAAAGATTTTTGGAAGAAAATCAGGGACAATGGGAATCAGAAGGGAAACTGGACTCAAGGTAAAGATTAGCCAATATTCTCTGAATAACAAAGCAGGTTCAAAGGGTCACATGGTCCAACCCTAACCCTAATATTACTCCTATTTCTAAGCTAACATATCATAGTAGTCAAAAACTAAAAATAATTAAAAAAGATTAATGGCAGATTAGCCTTTATAACAAGAGGGCTCAAATATGAAAGGGGGAAAGTGGTGTATTAATTGCACAAGTTCTGGTAAAACACTGAACAGATCAATGCACTGCACCATAGAAATTATATACTGGCCTTGGGTCAAACAAAGTGCAAAAGCACCAGAATGTTACCACAATTCTAAGAACAGATTTCGTGGAATGCTTAATTAACTAGATTTGTAATTCCTAGAATATGGGAAATTGATGGATGATTTGATTTGTTTTGGTTTTGTTTAGGACGTTAAAAGGAATTGAATTGTTGATGGAGCAATATTTTCCTATTCATAGGAGTGTCCAGCTAAGGACATAACGTTAAAATCAGGAGAGAAGAATCATTTAATACAAAGGGTAATAGAAGCGTGGAGCTAACACCCACAAAAAGCAGATGTTAACAGCGGTAGACATAAATTTTAAATCTTAAACCATTACATTCTTGCTAGTCAATGATATTAAAGGATATGGAACGAATGCAGTTGGATGGGATAGGTTTAAGGGGCTGACAGGCAAGCTCCTGTTCTGATATTCTTACAACTGCCCTCAATTATCAGCTGTGGTTCAATTTAGTAGCAAACTCATGGCTAGGTCTCATGTTTCCAGATTCAAGCACTGCCACAGGGCTTGATCATAAAAATCAAGATTGTTACTCAATGCAGCACTGTAGGAGCCTTATACTGTTGGAAGTACTATCTTTTGGATGAGATGATAAACTAAAGGCCCTTTCTACCTGGTTCGGTGAATATAAAAAGATCACATCGCACAATTTTGAAGAACAGCAGGAAATTTATTCTTGCTGTTTTGGGCAATATCTATTTCTCAATTAACAACATAAAGAAACATAATCTGGTTATTATCATATCACTCTGACAGTGTTTGCTGTGCATAGATCAGTTACTATGTTTCCTAAGCTACAATTGCAACAGCTTTTCAAAACAGTACTTCACTGTCTTGAAAATACTTTGAGATGTCCAGTGGACATGTAAACTGCTATACGTATGCAGGTCTAACATTTTCAATGTTTTCTAATAGGGTGAGGGCAATCACTTTGGTTCGCATTCTTCTTTCCTAAGCAGTAATCTGTCTTTAAAATGCTTGTATTTAATAACGGGACCAGAATTAGTGACAGTTGAAATGCTGAATAACCAGTCAAAGCTCTCTGCCTAGGTTCACACAGAAAATACCCACTGAAGAGGATCAATGTCTTCAGAAAAAAGAAATGAGAAGAAAGTTGCAAAAATAAAAAAAAAACTATATTTCAGTTTAAATGCCTACTTCACACATTATGCACTACAAGATCAAATGTTGACTACAAACAAAAATGTATATGATTGAAAATAGCCACAATTTTGAAATGATGTGTGAACTTTCATTTCCTTTTGTTTGTTTCAACAAAATCAACTCCCAACAGGTTGTTCAGCCAACTAAATGGTTAGCTATTAACATATTAATGAGCTTAAGTTTAATCAATGAAAGTCAGGTATGGCATGCAAACATACAATATAAAACAAAAATACTATATCATCAAAACTTAATCTCCTTGGAATAAAGATCACTACTCACCCTTAGAATAAGGTAGTCATCATTTTCTGAAAAGGTACACTCCACATCCCAAGGATAGGTAGCCTATTCAACTGGGGGGAAAAAAAAATAAAAAAAAAATTACAGGGCTGTGCCTCCGCTACTACTGCGTGAAGTTCACCAACACTCCTGGCAGAGAACAGAGTTAGGAACAAAGTCCTTTTGACAGCAGCTTTAAATCTACAGTAGCCATAGGCTTAAAAGGGGCTGGGGTGTAGCTGGGAGGTTGCATCAGGTTATACAGCACAAAGATCCCATGCTTTGATTAAGCATTTAATTGGGGTCTTAATGTGGGGAGAAAATTCAAGGAAAAGCTTTCCAAAGAGTTTCCTTCCACTGGGGAATGACAGGTAGCGATAACTTAGACTTCTGTGAAGTTGTGCAGAAGGCCTTCATGTAGCAATTCCAGGGCTAAACAAACATTTAGGCTATCACTAGAAAGGACCAAATCGAAAGATCAGAGGTAATAGTTAATAGCCTAAACAGACTGCAAATGCCAAAAGTTGAAAGATATTACAGCAAAATTCTGTCGCTGACAATTTAAGTTTCTTGAATGAAGAGTCGTCGAAAATAAGTTTTAGTTCGTTAATTATTGACAAAGAAAAGCTAAAGTGGATTTACACGATGATTGTCACAGCTTAGGTCTTGAAATACAAGTATTTGAAAGATAAAATGGTGAGCCAAAGATGGCTCTGAAATGTTGAAAAGGTATAGCAGCATACCTACAGCCTTCATCAACACTTCGGGGGAGGGCAATGGTAAAATGCAGGAGGGTGAGGAGACGTTGATGAGATGGTGCAGTAAAGAAATAAACTTGGAGGCTTTCTTGACAAAGTTTGATGTCACCTATAGGGCATTATGAAAGAACAAACCAGAATTTAACAGTAATAGCGATCTGAACTATTAAAATTCGAAGCTCGAGTTCAGCTACATATGCTGTAACATGCAAGAACAGCATATTTACTGTCATTGCATTTAACGACGTGCAACTCTAATAAGTAGGTTGATTGATTGTGATTTCAATCTTCATTGTGTACAAAACAAGACACTGATTGAAGTTGCTTTCCTTTGAGAAGTATCAAGGTAGGCCTAGCTACGTGCATTGCAAGGTGAAATGACTATTTGGCACGTAGCCTACTATAACATGAACCCATACTGTCTCTTGACGAATTGTTCGGTGTCCAGCATTTTATCCAAACGCAGTAACAAAAATGAGGCTTAGCCTATGCTCCAAGGGAAGACAGTGGGGATGAAAAGATGCTGCCTCACCACTTCAAAATCATTTCTATTTATTTCACATGTGAAGCAAACGCCATTTTTCCTTTATCTCCACTTGTAACACTTTAGTAAGATCACTGGAAGACATAACAATCTACACAGTGGATAGGTGGGTCTAGTCCCAAAGACATCAGATTATCCACAAATAGCCAACTGAATAGGGATAGGTTTCAGATGATTGTGCCTTTCTAGAACAAGAAATTTGCTTTGATTATGGAGCCAGAAGATGAAGTTCCAAGTAGAAGACAAACTCAGGCTGGAGATGCTGAACATAGCATGGCACTATTAGCATTTCTTTATGAATCAAGGAAAAGCCAAAAAAAAAAATCCATTGCAATTTTTCAATGTGGGGTAAAGAAATACACAATGTCAAGTTACTATAAAGAGGAGAATCCCGAAGTAGCAAAAGTCTTCATCATCCGACAGAAGGTCTCGGTTCAATTCCAGGATGTGTCTTGAATGAACACTGGATAAATCTCTGGTGAAGGCTAAATATGTAGATTATCTTAAAACTTTTTAATATTAATCACCAATAGGATTCGTAAGTAATAGTTGCGTCTGTAGCAATCTACCATGATGCCTTGTGGAAGAATATAATTTAGGCTTTGATAGTGATTAATGAAATTGTTCTGCAAAAGAATACAATTTGCCAAGCCTCATGTTTGCATTTTAGCATGCTTTTTGAATGATGACAAGTGCAATACCATCTCAATTTTTGTTTTTAAAGAAGGAACTTTTTTGGGTTAAGACATCATACATAGGCTCGAATGCCCCTGTCCTTGTGAAAAGTAGGAGGAATAAAGAAATAAATTTCTGTCTCTCAACTATCTGTACAGATTTGACTTTGGACATAAATTCCAATTGTTGAGAGCTCAAGTTGCAACACATCTTTTCTACTTCGGTGTCCAATATAAAACTACTGTTCTTTGAAATGGCACAATACACCTTACTGTTTTCCAGAAACTGTTACTAGCAAACTTGCTTCAGACTAAACCAGATCAAGTCAGGAGATGTGACAACACAGCCAAGACCCTGGCATCACTGGATGAGAGAAGCAATGAAAGGGATTGCGAATTCATTCTTCTTGTGAAGATTATAGATGCCTATGTCTGAATGAAGTCACTGAAAACTGAAGTCTTCGAATGATTTGTTGTTGCTCAATTGTCTGTATAGGTTTCCCACTGGACCTGAAGCCATAGACTGGCATTGATAACTTACCTGCTATGAATTTCTCCTTTTCATTTCCAGATTTTAGTTGTTTAACAGTGTCAAATTTTGAATGCCCGTGAACATTCCTGAAAGCATTCATCAGAATAAAACAGCTTCTTCAGCATTAGAACAGACCAACATAGGTAAACAAATTCCAAATTAATAGTGAAAAATAACATGTCCTATATCCAGCCTTCTGTGATGATGTGGAATAATATCAGATGCAGCGGTTTAAAGGCAACCCTGTATTGTCAGCACATCAAGTACACACGTTTCCTTCACTGCTTGGAAACGGTACAGGCTTTTTCCATGACCACATGAACCTCAGGGAAAGAACAGGTATCATGTGGCAATACATTGGTGAGCCTACTATCCAGGTCTGGAATTGGCATGGTGAAGAAACATGATTTCAGCACTGGTGGAAAAACCTAGTAAATGATCTAGGAGTAGCACTCTTCACAGAAACTTGCAGGTCTGTCAAATGAGACACCCTGTTGAACGAGAACTTCCCTGATGTAGTCAATCTGAATGACGTAATTTCTTTGATTCTGGTCTGCATTTTAGATGATGACGACGACACTGTAAACTCTTTGGTTTACCCTACTACAGAAACACAAGAGTTCATATATTGTGTCATCAAGACAGCACTGGATGCCACATATATATTGCTTGAAGGTGATGTTTCCGTTAACTGAGGTGGAATTTTAAAGCCTATACTGAATTTTCTTTCAAAAGAAAGAAATGTGGGTTATCAAGGCAGTAAAAACAACTGTTGATTGAGAAAACTCCTTATGCGATGCAACAAACATAATGCAACTGGCGTTAATGGTGAGAGGAAAATAACTGAAGATGGATGCCTGGAGGTGCCCTTGTATTTTGTAATTATCACACAATAATATTAAAATCTAAAGGGTCAAATGTCCCTCTTATTTTCCCAGTTGGATAGGCCACCTATGTGTAACGTATGTGGAGTGGTCAATGAAGTTAATACAAAAAAAGTGAATTTCATCTTTCAGTTATTTAGAAATCTTTTTATTAAAATGTCCAAAATAAATCTTTTGATCAAACATCCAACTTTCAGATAGAGAAAGATGGGTTTATTTAGCATATGGGTAGAATGAAAACTTGATGTGCTGTATCCAAATCACAGCATTTCACCTTTTTGTATAAAAAGTGGTTTTGGGTAGATATGGAAGAGGTAATTAGAGCTCTACCCACTATTCTAGAGGATAGATACAATTTAACATTTCAGGGCTTGAATGTACATATCCATTTTTTTTTTAAGATTAAAATGTATTTCTGGTAATAACAAGTATTTTAAAAATGATTTCAATTAAACAGAACTGATACAATAAACACACACTGCTGTTTAAAATTCATTCTCATTACCTGGACGCAAGTTTGTTCTTCTCTTTTCTGGACCTTGGTCTGGCAGTTAATGGCAGTTCACTTACAGGTGTCAGATCACTAATCACCTTGTTTAGTTTTCTAAGCTCATTCCCAATCTGCAGTAATTTTCTTGGATTTGGAGTCAAGTCTTCTACATCTGTTCTGCGAGACTTCTTCACTAAATATTTCCCTATATTGACAAGAATACATACGATTAGTTTATCTAGCTTCATTAATTCTAGGAAACTACATCACATTTTATGATACTGCATATTAGCAGCTGAAATCATAACAATGTTTAAAACCCAGTTGAGAATACTGTCAAGCCACATATTTGATAGGATCTGCTTTATAGACCATTATCATTTACAATTTATAATATGTGGAAGAACTAAGATTTAAAAAGTAACTGGCAAGACAACACCCAAAAAAAAAACTTTACAATATAAACCTGAACAAAATAAATACAAGCAATAATGACTAATTAAGTACACCAAACAAGTATGATAATGATTAAAGACAAAATAAGTTTAAGTTTACATTAAATCACTTTTACTATGAATTTCATACCAATAGGATTTTAAATATATTTTCCAGAGAATGAATAAATTTCCATACTTCTGGAACAAGTTCTACAGGCCATAATTCAAGTCAATTGTGTATTCATTCCAAAACAACCTCCTCATTGCTCACAGTCACACGCCATGACACAGCAGACGCACATAGCCACTCCCTTGTCACCTATTCTACATATGGACTCCTCTCCTTCTAGAGCTACTTAACCCTACCCAATTTTCTAGAATTCATTCTCTCTCTTGCTAAACATTACTTAATTCTTTGGTTAAACATAGCAGGGTGTGTCAAGATGTCTGCAATGTCCAGGTCAGCTTTCTTTTCACCCACTTATGCACTTAAAACCAATACCCACCAGTGTTCATTTTGAACATACTTCCACTTTTCCCTGCAGCAACCTCAGGGTTTTCTTCTTTCTAAAAACCTCTCCACTGGGTCAAAGCTTCAAGCATTGCTATAAACACACACCCAGGTAGTTAACCCCTAGCCCATAATTAAAATAAGTGAAACTTAACAGCATATCATTTACATTAAACTGAAATGCTTAATATATGCCACAACAGAGACAGTTCTAACAACATGACAGTTGGGAGAAACAGGTGACTTGGACATAGGGCTCAAAGCCCTTCACCACTGGAACTGCCTTCTTCATTGTGGAGTCTGTTGTGAATTAATGATAGAGATTAACTGCACCACCAGGACAGTAGAGGCCAAAATAAATTAAACATTTTTCATCCAATAATTCATATGTTCAATCAACAATACAAAAATGCAGTTAACTTAAGCCTTGCATAATAAACAAAGATTTTCAGGGCTATTAAAACATCATAATTTGATAATCAAGAATCAAGTCCCAACAAGCAGCTTTGGACTAGGACAGTTTTTAAACCATTTAAATCACCGAGGTGTAGTGTGGCTCTCATCAAATCTCACATTGCAATCTGCCTTCCTAATCTTCTAGCAACTTTTTGTACCAGAAGCTCCTTCTTGCATTTCTTTTAAAATGCTTATTCACTATGGCAACACAGGTGCCAGAGCAATTTTCCTGAGATAGCTTTGCTACTTTCCTCCCTCAGCATCTGTACTAGCTGAATTCTCATCCTCTAAGTTCAGCCTCCAACTCAACATTCTGCATTCATCTATTCCTCCTTTAAACTTTCCCATATCTCCCCAAATCACATTCATGCTCACCCCTCTTAGCCCTGCCATCTCAAGTTGCCTCAAAGATGTCAATTACAGATTTAGACCATCACTGATCATTTCCTGCATCACGCTCTATCCATATTCCCCTTTTCACCACAACCATACATTTTTCTGTGCCCACCCTGGTAACATACTCTCCCAACTGCATTTTCAAAATCTGAACTGGATTGCCCTTGGATCTCCATTTAATACAACATTCCACAAATGCCAGTTTGTTTAAGTTACACTACTCGCCTCCACCTTTATTCCTCTAGTATCCATGAAATATATTATTCATTCTCTCATCCTGACCATTCTCTCCAGTGCAGCCCTCTACTCCTGTCCCTCAAATCCAAGAGATAAATGTTCTTGGCTGACAGCTGGAAAACAGATCTAAAATCAATCTTGTGACCCAGTTGAGTAGGGTTGCACTTGCCTAGAAGAATCCAATCTTAACCAAAGATTCAGCTGCAATGTCTTCTTCCCCTTCCCTCACAATTACCTCTAGCATCTACCAAGAACATATCCTTGATCCCTTCCTATTTCAACTGCATGCTGCTCCTCAGTGACATCAGAGAATGTCAGGATTCCCAATAAATGTTGATGATACCCACTCATACCTCTCCACTACCCTTGATCCCATAACTATGCTATCACCATGATCAGTTATTTTCATCTTAAACACCTCCATCGACCCTTGCCTCAGCTGATTTACTGCCAAAATTCTCAAATCATTCCGTGATGACCTCAAGATTTGAGACACATTCCTACATGGCCTATTTTATCCCTTTGCAAATGAGGTCACCCAAAGACTCTGCTGTCGCTGTCTTAACACCAAGTCTTGTTCACCATCCTACACTAGCTCCCAGTTAAACGAGCCTTGATTCTGAAATTCTCATTTTCAAATCCCTCCATGGTCTTGTGTTTACTATAGATGATCTCCCTCATCCCTCACATCTGCACTCTTCCAATTACAGTTCGAGAATCACTCCCCCATCGTGTGCCTTCAGCTGTCAAAACCCGTGACTTTGGAATTCCTTCCCCAAAATTCTCTACCTCCATTT